CAAGGAATCTCCCTGGATCAAATTTTGGTATATCACAGTATCGTGGCTTCCACTTCCAGTACAGATACCCTGTATCAGGCCGTCCATTCCTTATGCAATTCTGAGGGTTTTCAATCGTGGGGCAGCTCTCATTGTAAGCTGCACCCGAAGTACTTGGAATCCAATCCCCAATGAAAATATCGCACTTTCCTGCACAGGTGCACAAACTTTATTTCCGTTGAAAACTCACTCACTCAATGCAATTACAATTGAATTTACTATCTGAAATGACAGATTCCAGGAAGAGTAAAAGGGGCATTCAACTAATAGTATCAAAATAATTAGCGGAATAACAAAACATTAACCGAAATGATACCAAGAAAGAAAAACTATACCGAAAACCATCAAAAATTCCCAAGCTGCAGATCTCAAGTAAACTAAATTTCAATCATACAGAAAAACTTTCCAATAACAGCAATTCTCTCCAAACTAAATTCTCATGCATACAATACCAAAATAGAAAAACCAACAAGAACCCATTAAAGAGAATCCAAGTATTACCATTTGATGGAGCTATCTGGTCCTGATCACCATCTTCTGGAACTAGCCCAGAAATTGGCGGTTCTGAATCCCCAGTTTTCTCGGGAAAATGGGTTTCTTTCTCGGGAAATTGTGTTTCTTTTCCGGGAAAAGGTATCTCATCCTGATCTTCGTTTTGTGGAAACTGCACAGCAATTGGATGCTCTGAATCCGCAGTTTTCTCAGGAAAAGGGGCTTCTAATTTGGGCGAGAACCTATTGGAGGTGGAGAGAAAGAGACGAAAAGCAAGACCCATCAGAAGAACTGCAACTCCAAACTTCACCAAATGCTTGTGCTTGTGATTGAACCAGTGCATCCAATTCAGCTTCATTGCCTTCACTGCTTGCTTGTTGCTCTCTCTCTCTCCCTCTCTCTCAATGTTGTGGGTGAATGATCGTTTGATTGGGACTAGAAACAGTTTAAAACTTTTGAGATGTAAGATTGGATTTTGGATCGAAGAGGGGTTTTCTTGTGGTGTGGTTTTAGGATTTTTGGCCGCTTTGGATACTCGTTAGTTCAATGTGGACTCTAGTAATTTTCTTTTGGTTCAGTGGGAGTGGTCATCTCCGGATTCTTTCCATCAAATCCACCTAATTCCCAAATTTGGGTTTTGAAATTTGATTTAACAGCTAAAATTATTATAACTTTTAGAAATGCCCCCTATTTTTAATCGTTGGATCAAATTTCAAGGGTCAGGATTTGGAAATTGGGTGGATTTTGTGGAAGGGATTTGGAGATGATCCCTTTTCATGGGAGTGAAGATAAAGTGAGTAAACCATGAGCTGGTGATCCAGTGGTAAAGGTGTCACACCCCAATCCGAAAATAAGAATGATATCGAAAGAGGGCATGAATAGTATCTTAGTAAAAAAAAATTGCAATATTACAACAAAGTATGATGAAACTAGAGCCATCTAAAATTTCATTTAGATCTGTTTATTTAATACATCTTAAGTTTAAAGAGTTCAACTCTTATAACACACTCTTAAGATACTAAGACACTTTATTCTACATACAACTAAGAACCAACACACATATGATATGGCTATTCATATAGAGACGAGTCATCATCATGTTCCTCAATACCAATACCTGCAATAGCTAATAGGGTGTGAGCATTTCATGCCCTGTAGGAACCATATACCCTTCAAGTTCATTTATCACAGTTAATCAAAGTGCCATGCATCAAACAATACGGTAAAATACAAATGATATGACAAATAAGTACCCATGAACTTACTCCCTTCTAATCCCGCTAACCTATATTTATGGCATCCAAACTTGCACGTCCCATACCATTCTTATACCACTTGGTTTCGAACACCATAGAATATAAGTTAACTCCCATTCCTCCTTTAACCCCAAATTTTATTAGTAGTTTTAGTTTCATTAATATAGGCTCTTCCCCCCGACGCCCAACCATACGTTCAAGCCCTTCCCCCGACGCTTGAACATATAAAAGTTTCCAACACTTTGTTTAACCAAAACCTTACTCAACCCAACACTTGACTCTGTATCATGTAATGCAACCTGAGCATTTCAATTTCACAGATACAATTGTAAACCTCAACATATTCAATCCAGCCATTCTACATAGCTCAACCATTCATCAAAACACAATAACATTTAACATAGTCAATATATAAAATACATCATAGAGGAAACTATCAACCCATAACACAACCATAACAATCAAATGATTCAATTTCGTACAAGCATTTCATTACTACTGTATTAGGTATAATTACTAATATCACAAAGATTAAACATGATATAGACCTATCATCGAGAAATATAGTCAAGTGTTTGGAGTCATTCCCAGGCCTAAAATCACATAAATGATAATAAAAGTTAGTATAAAATTGAAATGAAGATTCAATTTCAGCCTATCAAAAGTTTACCCAAATATACCCCTCTGTCACAACCTCGTGATGAACCAAGTTTAAGTCCCCATATTGTGGCCCCATTTTCATCCCTCAAAACTCCATGGGAAAATGATGAAATTACTTGGATTTTAAAGTTTAACAAACCTAGTTTCTAATCTAACAAGAGTTTCTCAAATCGGATTTAAGAGGAGAAAATAATCAAGCCCCAAAGTTGAGTTCACAAACAATTTTTTCTGCAGAGAATCCGCAAATTTCCAAATTCTTTTCACATTTTCAAATCATATTTTTCCATAGAAGATCTTAACCAAAATCGGTGAAATAAATTGGGCTTTGTTCCTTGTCATGTCTAATTTCAAATATATAAGAAGACTTTTTAAAAATGTGTAATGGATTCAGGGAAAACAAGAGCCAAAGTGAGGCTCACGAACTGCAGTTTTCTAGAAATCAAAGTTCCAGTGGTAAGAAAATAGAAAATTAACTAATTTGAGCTAACATTTTGTACCAATTGAAGAACACACCAGACACACTCTTTGCTCCCCTATTTCCGTTTTCCTACTTTTTCTGTGAGAGGTAGAAATATTCTCTTACCCCATCATTACATCTCTATTTTAGAATGCTTACTCACCCCTCTAGACTGCCCACATCACCCCAAAATTTATGAACAAAATCAGATTCTCTTGGTTCCCCACTGTGTGATGGTTGGGAAGAAGAGGAAAAGTTTGGGATGTCTACACATATAGCTCATCCTTTGTCTGTTTTTTTATTTATTATTATTTAATATTTAAGAGCTAAAATAATTTTACTCCTATAATTTACATATATATATATATATATTTATTTTTTGCCAAGTGTTACAAAAGGCCGAATTGCGAGACTTCTTTCAAATTAAAAATTGGAGGTCTTGAATTTGAAACCCACTGCTAGTGTAGAAGCCAAACTTGTGACCAGGGAATGCTAGAATGCCTCTATGAGTCTTTCCGGCCCTCAGAAGGGGTGGATAACCGTGACTTGCCACCAGTTGTCCCTCTTTAAGAAAAAAAAAAAAAAAAGAGAAGATAAAGTGAGTAAATCCAGTGATTAATTACTTTTAGAGCATTTAAACTAATTATTAACAAAATTCTCTTAGAACAAGTGAAAATATAATTGTATTGTTTATATCAAAATAAAATTATGGATAGTAATATAATTTTGCACAAATTAAATTTTGTTGTATTTTTTTTTTCACTTACATGTCATCATGGCATATTGCTAATTTTTTTAAAAAAAAAATAATAAAAATATAAACATCTTTCCAATAGTCCAATCCAACTTTCTCTATCACTCTCTCTCTTTCACATTTTTCTCCAACTTCTCACTCCCATATGTTTTCCAAAAAAAAAAAAAATGGAGAGCTAGGGAAAGTGGCTGGTAATTACAAATTTAATGCTCATTAAAAAGAAGATTAAAAATTAGGCCTAATTAGATTATTAGTCCGCATGGTGATATTATAGTTGGAAGATAACCCATGTGGTAAAAAAAAAAAAGATTTAGGCCTTGTGGTTGAAGTCTATTAGGTTTTATGTCCAAAATTGAAAATTTCATCATTATGTTAAATATTAGCACGCGAGTCACACATATTAGATTAAAATGGAGCTCTCTCTTAATTGTTAGCAGACTGGCTAGGTCCTTTTCAGTAAAATAATTCATCTTAATATTTTTATAATAAAAAATAGCCGATCGATCGTCAATTTGTTATTTATACATCAAAAGTTCAGAGGCTCACCGTCTCAAATACAACTCGGATGATTTACAATAGCATGTGTGTGTGTGTTAATTGCTGTTTTGGTATTTCGAAACGTAGAGATGTTAGGTATACTGATGTTGCATTGTTGTCTAATATCATTAAATCTTCAAAAATCATGTATTAGAAAGCACCACTCCACCTACTCTTTGATCCAATTTAAGGCTCACTTGATCAACTAATTAGGTAATACAAGCTTGATTAAGATATATTTATTATTTGGTTGACAACAATAAAACTAATTAGGTGAGAATGTCATGACGAGTAGAGGTTTTTGGGTACGGCACCTTTGATTTGGAGGGTGTGAGAGACGGGTGGAGTCAAAACATGAAATAGTGGTTAACCTCAAATCATGCGTGGTGTGCAATGTGAGATTTTTTTAGTTTAGGCCGAATGAATGAGATAGCCTGACTTTTGGACCTAAGACTTTCTCTATGACGAGCCTCGTTATTGATACATAGCGATGTCAATGACATGCTTTCTGTCAACAACTTGCGAGGATTGGCATGTCATAGATATGTCGTTGACTTGTCGCGACATCATTGGCATATCATAGCGAGATCTTGGCTTGTCATGGGCATTAGATTGCAAATACTCACTAGAAGGTAGGCTTCCATTTCAATCAGATCCAAAATTTCCCTCCTCAAATATTTAATTTTTTATTTTATAGAACAAAAACCACCCTTACTTTGACAGAATCAGAAACCAGTACACATATCAGATGCTTATTTAAGATGAAAAGTTGAAATCTACTTGGTTGAGGCTTGACAAAAACTGGTTTACGTAAGTTCAATATGTTCTGTACCTTGCAATGTATAATGTAGCAGCAATCTCGCCGGGACAACGAGGCTCGATAAAGCGAAACCCGAATGTACAAATACAGCAAGATAAAAAAATAAAAAAACTATCTAGCCTCACAACACAGAAGGATGATACAACGGACAATTGCTGCATCAAAATGCCTACAAGATAATTGAACAAGTCACCTACGCTCGCAAAGATACAACCGTATGAACTAACAAACACCTAGGATCTAAGAACACGCCAAGAATGCAATCGGCGATTGACCTGTCACTATCATCTTTAAAGTATTAACAACACACGAAATTTAAATCAGGAAATCGAAGCCACAAAAGTGAATATTCACACAACCATTCTGGGGACTTTCATGCCGAATCCCCGCTTTGCCTTCTCAACTCTGTCCAATAAAACGTCAACGGTCATGAATGAATCAATAAGAATACAAATAACTAAATGAAAAGAAAACAGGCAAGCTGATAACAAAACATCTTTACTTATGAAGGTTGATATATTAGCAAAGCAAGAAAATGACAGTAATCTTAGTTTAGACTCGCAGACACAGGACAATAGCCAATTAAGGATCAAGCCAAATGGTTTTTGATATCAATCGTGCATTTTTCTTTACGTTGGAATCTTAAAAAGAAGACTGTAATCACATGCGACTGTAATCAAACTTAAATATGAACAAGGACTTACGAGGGGGCAAGTTTGCCAAGGCTTTTTAACTCTTTCCCAGAGTCCTCATCCACAACTCTCCCAGACATTTCGACGATATAAAATTTATCTCTTGTAGTTGGTAGTCCTCTGCTTGCAAGTAGGTCCAAATCTCTCTGATGTAGCTCTCTCCCATTTACGTAGACACTGGTATTGCCAGCAGCACAATTTGTTGGAATGGGGTAATAGAATTCTTCAATAAAAGGCTGCAAGACAACGTGAATGCTTTATTTATAATTCCACATGAACCATGTACAAGGAAATTTGCAAATCAAAATTTCATTGTTCTCACAGGAATTATGCCAAGGCAAGTTTGGCCCATCACACCCCAGAATCCGGCTCTGAAGTCATACCTAGTTAAAAATGGAGACACGAAACAAGTTAGTCTTTCAGCTAAAAGGAATTTAGATATGTCATACACTTAACTTGGGAGGCAACACGCAGACTTACCAATAATCTCCAGGTTGAATCGGGCCAGCGAGCTTTTCAGCTTTCTTAACGACATGATCCGGTATAGGTTGCCCATTAATAAAAACAGTAGGCCTTGTTTTCTCCACAGCTTGATTAGATTTTGAGAAATCTTTAAAGCTCTTTTTGATGAGACCCACCAAGAAGGAATCAGCACCCTTGCCGATTTTGGGGTGATCTTGTTCTTTTCTTCCCTCTGCAGAGTCTTGAGAAATGTTGGTATTGAGATATTCATTGTAAGAAACATCTACGTCAGTTTCCACTGAACTATCTTTCACGGAATTCTGTGGAGAAATGATCTTTCTAAAGAGTGCCTTGTCTTGGTTCTTGCAGTCACTATCATTTCCCTTCTCATCTCTGCTTACTGCACGTTTAGGACTATCAGACTGCTCCCAAAGAGGCGAACCTGGACGCTTTGGAGAAAATGAATCTTTTTTTAGCAACTCAGCAGAGTCGGGAACATCTCTATTTGCGATTACACAATCTGATATCTCCACCTCCTCCTCCTCCTCCTCCTCCTCCTCCTCCTTCTTGGAAGAGATGGAAGATGTTGAAGTAAGACCTTGCCTCTTCTCAGATTCATCCACGTTCAGCGTCTGATCTTCTGTCAGTAAATTGTCTTTGGTTTCTATGGATGGCAAGTTATGATCAGAATGATCTAAATCATCACAGCGGGATTTGATGTCACCTGCATTCGGACTACCATGAAGACTTGAAATGCTGCCTTTTAATGCTTCTGTCAGTAAATTGTCTTTGGTTTCTATGGATGGCAAGTAATGATCAGAATGATCTAAATCATCACAGCAGGATTTGGTGTCACCTGCATTCGGACTACCATGATGACTTGAAATGCTGCCTTTTAATGCCTCGTTAGAACTTTGATCAACCTCAGAAGATTGTTGCTTGGAATCTTTAGGAGCAGAAGTAATGAGCTTTTTACTCTTGATTTCAAGTGAGATAACTGTTGAACAGGAACCACACCGCAGTTTTGACTGATTATTATTCGTATTCTTAAGTTTTCTAGGAAGTTTCAGTACTTCAAAGCAACTAAAGCATGTGATGAATGGGGCACCTCCTGCTACAGGATGGAAGATTCGTCCACGCCTATTAACTGCCATTGCGCTTCTTGGTTCTGAATCAAAGTCGCTTTGCCATCTTGTGTGCAATGGAGGAGGACTAGCATGTCGGGGATTATAATCATGTGGCTTGACTTGTTGGTAGGTATTCAAACTAACCGGAGCTTTTGGAACCCTTCGATTCCCAAAATCATCAAGCGAGACTTGGGGTGAAGCTACCCGATTCTGGTTGTAGCATCCTAAACAAGAGCAAGCAGGCGAGTGAGAAGTGTTATCATGTGGATTTGAATTGAATTCCATGCGCTGCCCCATAAAGTACTCATGAGATTGTGGTCTTGGGTACTGGAGTAGATGAGGGGGAGGCCTCCGTTTCATTTGTTGCTGAGATGGATCCTCATATTCTGGAATTGCATTCAAGGGATGCCTTTGAGGAGGATAGAAGTTTGGCGTATCCATGTTACGATAACCCATAAAAGGAACATGTCCATGACTATAGTTTAAGTAAGGGGGCCTTGTCATCTGCTCGTCCACAGCGTAAGGCTGCATGGAAAGATTATAAGTTAACCGGTCACCATAAGGATCAGGCGGGGTCCTACTCCTCTCCATAGGAACCGGTTCCCATGGTTTATCTACCACATCATAAGATCTGCTCAGTTTCTGCTTCAGCTCATCCAACTTCCTTAGAAGCTCCGCTCGATCCTGCTCCAAATTTTCAACTTCACTCATAGCATCAAAAGAATCTACCTTATAGTTTGAAGGCCCCTCATCAGGATAAGCAGAAGTTGGGATTCTTCCACGCTGAGCCCCGACCCTGGAGCTCGCGTAAAACCCATCAAACCGATCTCTTTCTACACCCCGAAACTGGTCCATACTTCCTTTTGCTCTCACTGACCCAGCAAAATTCTGTAAGTGGGCTGAAACATCTCCTACACTTGAATTTACAGACATAGACCTACTCATGTTCATTTCAATCTCATCTCCAGACATCCAATTATCTATTGGGAACTGTGAAATTCGACTGTATTTTTCAACAAACTCAGTTTCTATAGCTGCACCTCTTTGCTCAAACCTTAAAGCATTAACCCTTTCCCTAACATTATTACCATAATTATCAACCATAACCTCCTTGTTATCTGTTCTTGATGAACTACCACTAATCGAATTAACCTTTCGATCTCCGAAAACTCTCTCTTTTCCTCTACCTCTCCTTAAATCCATCACTCTCCTCAAACCTAATGCCTCTGGAAACAACAATGGCCAAAAATCCCAGAATCACATCAAATTAGTACCTTAAACTTCTCATAAATCATAAACAAACAGGAGCAAGAAACTGAATAAAAAGATGATAAACTTGGAAGCATAACAATTTAGATTTCCGCAAGTCAACTGTATTTTCTTTCCTATTTATTTTATTTTCTCAGCAACCAAACAGCATGGAAAAGATAAAAAAAAAAGAACCAAAATTCGAATAACCTACCTCAAGAACATCAGCTCTGGCAGGATCAAGTACTGAACTTTAGGCCCTTCCAGATATTATTAAGCATCGAAAACGAAAACCCACAAACCAGAAAGCCAACCAAACCCTATTCAAGTTTGCTTCGGAACCCACAAACCTTCATTACCCCAGAAGCTCTGAACAAAGACTTTGGACTTGGCCGTCCAAAGAACAGAGGTTTCTGAAACTTCCACAATTTTCAATTGTTTTCAAACAATAATTACAGTTGACATTTTCTCTTGGAAAATAATTAAAATTTGGAGAGACTTTGAAAGGGTGGGGTTGGAACTTGCCATTTGAATTTCGTACATTTGAAAATTTGGGTCCGATTCCCAATAGTTTTCGACACTGTTGTGAGAAAAAGCTGGCTTGAAATTGCCAACGCGTACTTGTTTGGAACTTTCAATTTGCTTTTTTAAGTGGTCCTGGTTAAATTCTTTCGCGATCTTTTCAAAACATTTTCGCCCCCTACTAAAAAGTGAATCACTTATTTGATTTGATGAATCAACGACGAACGAAAGAGTATATATCTCATTTAGTCATTGATGTATGCCACAAACTGATTTACTCTGCAACTTGCACCACTTCTATTCGTCTTATTATTTGCACTTCAAATAATTCGATAATACATTTATGTGCCTCGTGTAAATTTAGTATTTTAATAGTCGCTATGAATGATTTATAGTCAAGATGTTTGGAAGGGTTATTTTTTAATAGTTTGTCCAAAAAAAATAATTCTAGTCGTGCCTACGAGTGATTTGTAGCATAAATCACCTCTGACTTGGTGTTAAGAAAGCAAACATTCTTCATTTCGCCTTTGACCAAGTAACAAGACGCAGGTAAATGACTTTTGTTAACCTTGCTGGGTAGGGGTAAAAAACTAAAAATACTATTGTTAGTTATTTTGATTATTTTACTCATACAATTTGTACAAAGTATTATCTTATCAAGGAAGGTCGATTGCGAATGATAACCTAACTTTAGCATAATTTCGTTTAAAATTCATTATCATAAGGATTCAACGTGCAAACAAAATGCCTGATGTTGACCACCTAAAGCAATCTTCCTTCTTTTTATCCAAATTTGAGACCGGCAATCGTATGATAAACTTATACAAACGACTACCTGTGAAGGCCATCATGGGATACATATCTATGTACTAGTCAGTTGCCATAACCAACCTAAATTAATAACACTCCAAATTAGTATGATTATATTTTATTTTTTGGTAGATTATATTTTACCTTCTCAAGTTTGAGTGCAGTTACAACTTTATACAACATCTTTAAAACATTTTAATTTCATACACGAACTTGTATTTTAGTTTCAATTTCATACATCTGGTAGTCAAACCGTCAATTTGAATATTAAGTGATGGCGTGGCAAACGTGTAGCCTGTGTAGCAAAAAATAATGCAGAATATCTTGAAGCCGTCACGTGAACTTTTACTCATAAGTGACAAGAATGCCTCATTAAATAGGGGATGCCACATTTGTTCTACGCGCAGTTCAACTCTCAAGAAGGCCTAAGATAGGAGTAATACCCAAATCCTATTTTAATACTTTCTTAATCGAATACCAACTCAATCAAACAATGAATTACAATCAAATCCAGGGATTTCACAAGATAATTTCAAGATATTATTTATTCAATAATGTGCTTAGGATAATTTTTTCCTACTCCATCCAACGGATGACGACACATGGCGAAATCTCTCTCCTTCATGGTTGGCCTAACCCCAATAAGTACCCTTTGGTATTTGCTTCACAATCAATCATAACTCTCTCGTTTGAGAGAAACTGCCTCACACATCGGAGATCATTGGCCAAACTTCCTCCCACTCCGGCACGTGGCTTTGGCCATTGAGTCAGATTTAATTCTCTAAGAAGGGTCTTGCAATTCCTTCTGGAATTTCCTCCACATTGATTTTCTCGTACATTCATAATCTCTGAATGTTTTTTTAAAGTTCATTGTTTAGTCTCTCAAGAAAGGATACAATGACTGTAAATTTTGAAATCAGCACAAAGGCTGGACGACTCTCTGCCACTGTAGCAAGGCCGTTCGTGTGCCGCTGAAGAATACGACCAACTAAAGCCAACTCATATGAATCTACAAGGGACCCCAACAAGGCAACAGTTCCACATTTAGCACCACGATGCTGCGCAGCGAAATTAGCTGTTGTGTGGCAACATATAATTAACATTTGCAAGTAATTAAGTTTTATTTGTCCAACTAATTTGATGAACAAAAGGACGAGTTGTAGGAGGTCATATGTACTTTAAACTATTTTATTTTGCAATTAAATATTCTTAAAGCATAGTAAAAACAATTTTTTTTTTTAAAAACACGGTAATTTCCAACGGACTTGGATCCTCTCCTGAGCTAATGGAGAGGATCCAAATCCATTTCCAACTGATCTTTAGTGAATGACCGAGAGATTAAGTACGATTCATAATTTAAATTAGATATGCCTATCACATCATACATTTTAGGGTTGAGTAAAGTGGCCAAACCTCCATGACAGTATTGGCTCCTTTTTCGATTTTTGATTCTAAAGTAAAGGCTTAAGGGCTGGGGAATGGTAATTGCAAATCATGAGTAGTTTAAAGGTCCAAGAAAAGATACCCAAATGAAGACAAACTTAAAAGATGTTATACAATAAAGTAAAATAAAAAAAAATATATGTTGTTGAAATGGTATCTGTATCTAGTGTGGGAATAGGACTTGTATTGTCTGCCCTCCTATTTCAGTGCCCTTCTCGTGCCCCCCTGTTTGTGTGGTCACGGTTAAGCCATGTCAACATTTTATATTACTATTTCTTTTTGTTTTATTATTTTTATAAAAAAATAATATAAAATATTAACGTGGCTTAACCGTGACCACACAAAACAGGAGGGCACATGGAGGGCAGACAATCCAAGTCCGTGGGAATAATGATCAACGGACTTGGATTCTCTGCCCTCCAATTTTGGTACCCTCCCCGTGCCCTCCTGTTTTTGTGGTCACGGTTAAGCCACGTCAACATTTTATATTAATATTTCTTTTTGTTTTATTATTTTTATAAAAAAATAATATAAAATATTAACGTGGTTTAACCGTGACCACACAAAACAGGAGGGCACGGGAAGGGTACCGAAATGGAAGGGGCAGAGAATCCAAGTCCATGATCAACTTGTATGCAAAAGTAAAGATGAGATTCTCTATTCCGGACCAAAATAGACTCGTCTTTATATTTCCATCCACGAACCTATACGATAATGACGGGGACAAAAGCGAATAGGAATTAATGCTAAGTTTACGATTCCAAACTCTTTAATACAATGAGGATCCCTTCTGAATTTCTTTACAAGGATTTCGAATATCCTTAAATCACGTTCGTTCATCGTATATCGTATGATTATAAATTATTGAAATTTTTTGTATTTAAAATTGAATGTAAACAGTACCTGATGAAAACTGAATGCACGATGTACGATGAACGGACTTGATTGGAGGATCTCCAGGATCCTCACAAAGATGATCCAAAGAGGATCCTCATTCCTTTAGTATTGGTTTGGTACTGATGTGCTTTTATAAAATGTGGGTATAAAAAAAAAACTAAACTCAAAAAGTTGTTTGGTAAACACTTAAAAACAGCTTATTTTCATAGTTTTTGGTGAAAAAAAAGCTGAAAACGTGAAGCAGCGAAAATGAGCTTATTCTCACAGCACAACAGAAGCAATTTTTTGTTTCAAAGCATAGCAATACCAAACCAGCTTTTAATATAACCATTAGAAAAAGTGTCTTCCTAATTATACTTAATTTTCTCATTTTCGCAAAAATTTTTAAAGATTTAACATTCTCATATAGGTTTATATTGCAAGATTAAATTAAATGAGGTATTGAAATATGAATGGAAGATAAGGAATACACAGACTGAGCTTTAACTTTGGATAATCTAAGTAACATGGTTTGAAGAATTTTCTGGTGTAATTTTTAAATTCTTTTTGAGGATATCGATACTAATTAATTTGTTTGGTGCTGGACGCTCTTTTTTTCTTCGTCTAAGTTGAAATTCTTGTAAGGTTTTTATCGAAACCTATTGTTAGCACCCTATCCTCATTGTTTGTATACATTCTTTCTTCTTTAGTGTATATCGTACTTGAACTAAAAAAATAAAAAAACACTTAACCATGCAAAAAGGGAAAATCTTACACACACTTATTTCCCTATTTTTATTCTTCTGCACAATCATTTCCCATTTTAATTTGCCAACTGATCGTGATGGTGCTTAATGCGTAGGTGCATGTTTCACCTTTTTTTTGGTGTGTTTTACTTTTTTTTGTTAGTTTTTGAGTTTTGTTGTTCAAGTCTTAAATTTCCTCGCATACCATATCTGTCAAAGCAAAAACACTACACGATACGACTCGATTACTATTCTTTAACTGCATAAATCTAGATTAGTATACACACGTTTAAGGGAGTGATGGAAAAACTGTCAACGCCAATTTTGGTTCCAAATGAGTTGTTGACGTCTTAATAAATTTTAACTTGTTATACTTAAATATGTACATACCTGGCAATCAGGTTGTGTGTCGTGTCGCTTTTGCGTCATATTTATTATCTTAACAGATTATGTTGTATCAAATACGTTATCTTAACAGATCTGAACAGATAACCCGATAACAACCTGATTAGTTAACGGGTTGACTCAAAACCTGTGTTATTTGTGTCGTTTCGTCAAGTTAGCGGGTCATGCAAAAAAGTGTCATGCCTAATGCCTAGATTTGTCAAATGAGTCGTTTTGTGTCATACAAGTTATCTTAACGAGTGACCCGTTAACAATCCGACTTGTACACATGTTGATCCGTTAATAACCCAACTAGTTGACAAGTTGACCCGAAATTTATTATTTTATTATTGTTCCGTATCAAATTAATATGTCGTGCAAGAAATTACCAGACTTATACGTCACGGCTATGCACTTTCTAATTGCTAAATTTATGTCAGTATAATTAGTTATAAAAGCATATCCTACTCATCCCTTAAAAACAGTCATGCCCCAAAATATGTGCAAAGTTTTTAGTTTACCATACACCGATGTATTGCATAACCGATCACTTATAGCTGTTAACAGGTCCAAGTGCGGGAGTATGTCATAAAATTAGGGCAAAAGTTTTGGCATATTTACGAAGAGCACCAGGACAATGACATGCAATGTCTTTTCCAAGTTCTTGTTTCACTTGTGGCCATCATTTTTTATTTGAGATGTGTGAATAACATACTTTTTATTTTTTATTTTTCACATATTTTTTGTTAATTTTTATCATTTGATTATCTTTAATTTATTTGAGTCTACGGCCGCAAATTAAGATGATGTGTGAGAAGTAAAAA